GTATTTTTTTTTAGTGCTATAATAATTATTTTATATCCTCTTTTTATTTTAGGTAGATGCTGGTATTAGTTTAATGATAATGGGGATGTCGAAACAAGGAACTGATGTATTGGCTACTTTAGGTGTCACTGCATCATATAGAGTTATTGCAACAAAAAGGTGTAAATAGTTAAAGGTACAAGATTCAGATCTCAAAATATATTTTCAAAATCAGGTATTCTATTATATAATATTTTTAAATAATGTGTATTTAATATATTTTTTAATAAAATTTTTTAAATTAAAGTTAAAATATAAGTATTTTTTGAATGTTGATAACTATCATGATATACATGAAAAACGAATGCCCAATGTGACTTCACTTCATTCAATAAATCACATAGCTACTATTTGTGTCAATTAATTAAAATATTGTGCACCAATTTCATATTATTCATTATCAGGGTTTAATATTCATAATTCTGAATTTATTGATGCTAATATTATAATTTCAAAGCTTTGCACAGGATATATGCAAGCTTTTGGCACAAGTTATACTGATCAAAAAAAGGAGTAGAACAATATTCAAGAAATAACAAACTTATCTGATGATATATTAATTGACAGTTTAACAATATATATGTATGATTCAGATATAGCAGAACAAAAAGAAGAACAAGCAATAAAAGATATTAAGCTTGTTGACTTAGTTTCCTTAGATTTTCATTCTATGAATGATTACTTAAAAGCTATTAATACTTATACCCAGTTATAGCCTATTAGGCATATCTTAACTCTTTTATTGTACCAGTTCCTGTTAATTTTTCTGGACAGCTTTATATTTGTCATGCTATTGTTTACAAATTGATAGAAATCAAACCTTAACGCCTGATCTAATTTTACGATTAATTTCTATGCTTGGACCATTACATGTATCTTTGGACTCATATCAAACAACAGTATTAGTATATCACAAGTTTTTTAGCAACATTTTTAAATCAATTTGGAAGAATAAAGAACTTGCAGCAAAGCCTAAAGTATGGTGATCTAATTTATTGCTTTATCTTGCTTATATGGGATGACTTCAAATTAAACCAACTATTATAACTCGTATAAATAATTTTAAAGATTTAAAATATCAAACATTTATAGACTTACTTGATAATATTGTTCCAGCAACTATTGATATATATACAACATTATTTAAAGCTGAAAAATGAATGAGTATCTTGAAACAATATTTCAGTTATGGACAATTTTTTGTCACTTCAAAAGAAAAAAT